ATATTTAAAAACTATAATGCGTGACGGAAGAGTTTACCTCGAATTCAGTCTCCTCCCAGTTCGTTCATATGATGCATCAAATTATATTAAGATGATAAGTCTTTCACTTATTGTAATGATTAGTCAATTTAACAATTCATTCTCGAATAATCATTGGTTAAAAAGAATCAATATAGTAATTCGACTAAAGTCAAATGGTATATCAACGATCATTATTAAGATATACTTATTGAATACGAAGAACAGCTAACATGGAATTCCCAATTAGACATCGTATTGCATTTATAATTAACTACCAAAGTTCATAGTTAGAAATTCAATACGACAAAATGAATTTCCTTAAGAAATACAAAACAAAACAGCTTAACTTTTTTTCATTGTATATATAATGCGTTTGTGTATTATAAGTGTTGATGACTTATGTATTTATCTGATTATTCTTCATTATGCCAGCTATTCTTTTCTATATTTTTTATTATTATGAAGCATTGTAATTGATAATATTAGGACCGCATTGAGAAACAATCAAATGGGGTCAAAATGGGGGCTGAGACTACATATGTGTGAGATCACAAAATAAAACATTACCGGGATCGAGGTGACAAGAAAAAAATTGCCTGGCCGGAACTTAAGTTGATAGTAAAATACTCTATGGTTTTCAAGCAAATTATCGTATACATTATATGAATTAGATCATAATGCAAACCAGATGACTCAAAAAAGTGTTAGTCCTCGACTACATACATCGAAAAAATAAATATTGAAGAAGTATTTTAGATTTGAAACAAATAAATTCTGGAATATTTTTCCCTACGTCGAGATCAATGCTCGAAAAACTTGGTCGCGCACATATCTAGGTGGGATCGATCCAGAAACGGTCCGTGATAATATATTATAGTTGTAAACTGCAGTTATAAATTAATAGATATTAAACGGCCATTAGCTTTTTAGAAAACAAAACATTGCTCAATTTACCAATTTTCCATCAATAAATAGAAGATGTTTTCATACGTGTTGTTCTATTTCCACACATATATTTAATATAAAGTAGGAATTATAATATTTATGGAGACGGGTTTGTATGGATTATGTACAAATACCGATACAAATACAGCAACTCTTTTTTGTTGCTATTGAATAAAACTAGATCGAGATCTTTTAAGCACTCTGTATAAATAACTTTTCATCAAATTCGAATAATAGTTACTATTCATTCATTTTATGAATCCTGTTGTATTCTTCGAAACGAATGTATGCAATTATAATTTTGAAAGATCATATGTAATTTTTACAGTTGTATTTAAACTGTACATAAAAAGCGAGAAAAATCTTGATCAACAACGAAGAACATGAAAACATTTCTTAAATATTCAATTACATATTTTATTTTCTCTTCAAACATACTACATTTGTTCCTATGTAAGATCTATGGTTTCGATGAAAAAATGAATTAACATAGTTTATAAAGCAAGTCATTCCAGTGACACACCAATTTCTTTTCCATAGAAAGATACATGATTGTATGCAGATTACTGCGCTTATTTCGAATACCTAAATCATAACAGTCCTTAGATATTTCTAAAGTTTACATCATAACAACCATGCTCCTTTTGACAAGTTCAAATTCAATTCCCAATTACTCTACTATGTATTAACAGATAAAATATACATGGAAATACTTTTTCTGCAGACACTTCAACATTAAATTTCAAATGCTAAGCTATAAAGTAGGAAGTTTCGGATATTAATTACAAATAGTCATCTGACATTTGTTTGTGATTTTTTTGTCATGTACATACACAAACTAATAATAACGTCATCATATTTAGCACAAAATATCATAATTGAAGGAACAGAATAAATAACAACGTCATAGGTAAGTTACAGGACAAAAAAAAAGTGTACTGAGTGATCTATACCCATGTCATAGATGTAATACGAATTTAAATATTACTTATTGAAAGAATAAATAGCATTGATAGTGTCGATAAAGTATTAGTAAATATATAATGTCATGTATATTTGCATATATTATTATAGAATGACTAAGATAGAGTTAATATCAACTTGAATCAACAACAACCGCCCACCTCCGTCCAAAATCAATTTTCGATGCAATACATGGTATTTCATGAAATTTTTGTGGCTCTGAACCTTACCATTCAGGAAATTTTTAGGATCCAGCGTACAAGATAGGGCTTTTACCAGCGCGAATGTTTTTTCAATGAGGTTTAAGTAAAAGAGAACTCCTTATTGCTTCGAACAAGAAAATAAGTTTTTAAAATTTTAATTGTATATCATTTTTTGAACTCTGAAGACTATAAGCCAGAAAAAAAACCACGATTGTTTTAATATTGAGAGGCAAATACAAAATTCTTTTTCCTTATTAGAAAGAGAACACAATTATCTATCGAATAAAAATAAACCCACACCCTTACTACAACGAATTGTGTCTAAAAAACGTACGAATATTTATTTTTATATATTTACCTGAAGACCTTTCTGACGTCAGCATTAAATATGACCATATTATGTACTAATTAGAAATTCATTGTAAGTCCTATCCAGTGACCTTCTAACTACACTTCATCTCAGAATAAGGAAGCTCATCATGAATTTTAAAGAAACCTTTTGAACTTGAAAGTTGTTTTTATGAGTTTTAAAACGAGAAATCTTCAGAGATTATGTCTATATGTTTATTTCAAGAAGTGACTGTTTTTTTTTAGAAAAACCAATTTTTTGGATGTGAAGGGGAGCAGTCTTAAGATATAACCGCATGTTTCTTAATTTTCTAAGATATTAAAAATTGATACGATGAATACAGATTTTCAAAACGAAATAATAAATTGACCGTAACTAAATAATTGAATACCTAAAATACATAACTTCTTCATCTTTCTATTATCTACAACAAAAATAATATTAAAAGGATACTTTTGCATAATTAGTCCTTTGGTTCTTATACGATGTATCCTTACCATATGACACAAAATTATCCCGCTCTCGGATGCTGTCTGACTTCATATTAGGACTACGAGTAGTAGTTCCCTTTGAGAGTAGAAAAAGCTTAAAAAGATATGCGTTCATGACTTATAAATGAAATTTTTACTGAGAACAAAATACCTTCGGAAAATACAGAGTAAAGAATTTCGGTCTGAAACTTTTTCTATAGATAGACTTGATGATGATGATGATGATAAGTGATCCTGAAATTTTCAACGAAAACAAGCATGTCTTTCTTAAGATATTCATTTCCCATAAAACAGCGGGTTTATCACAACAGGACACAGTAGTCAAATCTACTTGAAAATTCAATATTTTGAAAAAAAAATTTGTTAGTTTTCACTGAAACTTTTAGGGTTACCCAATAACAATTGAATCTGCTCACAGGCAAAATTTCAGATCAAAAAGGAATTATTATGGGTTTTTCGCAAGTTTCTTGTTCTTATTGAAAAAATTATTGAAACAGTCATAAATCTTCAATATTACGTTCAACAGTTGGATCTGTTGCCTGGTAGGAGCATTCGAGGATCCTAATATTCAGAATTAACGCTCATTTCCAAAAACAAATGGCTGGATTTTTTTTTTAGTAACTTTTGATGGAAACAAGACAAAGCGCTGCCACTTTCACCATTGGAAAGAGAAGATAAAGCCATATCGAAGCATATATTATAGGTTCTCCTAAGATGTTTTTCTGAAATTTTTTAATTAAATTTATAAAATGTGTCGGAACAGAGTACGTTGATTTTCAAAAAGCTCAATTTAAAATCCTGAGAAAACCTACGGTCAAAAAACCTTGTCATACACCATTCGTTGTAATTTTATCTGTTTTTTCAAAAGATGGAAGCTGCAGCTTTCTATTTTGTTTCTATCAGAAGTTGTTAAAAACCAGTCTGCTTCTTTTTTAATTGAAATGGGTATCATTTGGGAAACTTCTCTCGTTATTTAAATTTTATTAAAAACAATTTTCTCGTATTCCCATAGGAACAAAAGCAAAATTCCTATTTGGAAGTATTTACTGCATTTATTTTTTGCTATTAACCAGCGACAAAAGACTTATGAATCGAATTTTTGATGAGTAATTTCATGAATGGTCAAACGTAAGAAACATAAGGTTTTCAGAAGTTGTTCTTGTTAGTAGAACTTTGTAGGACTCGTTGTTTTAATGATTGTTGTAAAGAAAATATTTAAATTTACAGAGTAAATTATGATGCTAGGACGAGAATTCTGAAAAACTTCGGCTATTTCAGTCTGCTGCTGAGCGATAGTTGATATTTTCGAGTATTTTGACACTAGTATCATGATTTATTGAGTAAATTTAAATATTTTTTTTATCAAAACAATCATCGCAACGGGTTCCATAAAACTCTACAGACGAAAAAGGCTTCTAAAAGTCTTATATTATGTTTGCAGTTGACCATCTATAGAAGTTTCCCTCGGAAAACACAATTCCTCAGTACTTTGTCGTTGTTAGTATATAATCATTTTCAAATATGGATTTTTTTCTTGGTTGATCATATGCATTTTGTGAAATATATATCAATATATGCAGTTGAAGAATAAAAAAAAAACATTTAACAATGTTCTTATCTTCAACCGGAGTTTCACACGTGGCAAAGACATTTCTATATTCTACACTGTTGAACCACAATGAGGAATAGAAAGAAAAACGAGAATAACTACAACCGTCTTTGACAGCAATAGATTTCAACGTATACTTATATATATAAAGACTGGCGAAAAAAGAATACAGATGGAAAACGTATGAAAACGAGCACCAGTTTCACAATCAAACAAGAAATGTATATATGTATGTATACTGTACAGTTGTTAAAGGAAAAAGACGAAAGAAAAATATGATGTTAATGCACCGGTGAAAAGAACAGTATAAAAAAATAATAAATGACACAATAACAAGAAAAATCACCGAAAGTTCTTTTTTTTATTAAACTACTAATCTATAGATATACAAAGAAGATAAAAAGAAAAAAAAACATATTTTATGCTTCAGCTTCCTTCAACGCATTTGCTTCTGAATCCACTTGATTTAATCTAACTTTTTTTGTTTGTATAGTTGTTACTTCAGTTGTTGCTGATGATACAGTCGTATTTGTTGAAAATAAAGCAACAACGATTTCATATGTACTCATCATAATAGCTGTATTCTGAAAATAATTCATATAAATAAATAAATAAGTTTCAAAAATGAAAAAAAAAATTAGTCTTACAGGAATTTGTCGTATAAGATGTGTTAATAAACCTCGATAAAGACCAGAAAGACTTTCTTCATGTATAACTGTTCGTATTGTCTGAATAAGCGTTCGATATTTAGTACCTTCTTCTCTTAAACGTGTTCGAATAACTTCATGAGGATAACATAACGTACTTGCACAGGATTTTGAACATGCAGCAGCACCCAAATATGACAAAAAATCAAATAAATCAGGATCATCAGGTGAATGATTTTGATTTGCTTGCATCAATTGTAATTGAGCTTTTATTTGTTCATATATAACAAAATGAACTATTGTTTCCGATACACCAATATATGATGCAGATATGCCTGTTTTTTTTTTATTTATAACAGAAAATTCAATATTTGTTTAGCTTCAATTAGGAATATACCTTTGTAGAAGCCTCGAAAACCACTTTGACGATAAATATTTCGAACAACATCCATAGCACGAAGATGTCTCAAAGATTAAAAATACAATTAGTTTATTGTATTTATGTTTATTTATACTCTAATTAAATAGCTTTACCAAGCAAGTGATCTAATTCCTTTTTTTCAAAAATTCTATTGTGCTTATTGAAGATTATATATGAATATATATTACATGAAAAAATAACTATGTATGAGTAATGAAAAAATAAAAAAAAGAACAATTAACTTTCTACTAAATTTTAGTATTTCCAACTCAATATTGTTTGATAATCACGAAAAAAGTCTTAAGATTTTCTCTTAGAACAAACACTATGAAGCTTGAATATTTTTCTCCATCTTACATATTATATTATTAGATTCTTATATAAATGATATCCAGGGAGCCCTATGTGTTGACATATATCTTTCGACACAAGTTTATGAATCTTCATTTAAATATTCAAAAGAATATTTTGTTATTATATAGAATTAATAACCTGTAATAATTCGAATAATATTTCTTATTTTTAAATCATAAAAGCAATTCTTTACACTTACCCTTGATCAAGTTGAAGTCGAGTTTTAACAAACCATAACGGATTAGTACATGTAGACATAGCAATACCTTTAAGATAAAAACAAAATTTTCTTTGAAATGCAAGATTTTATAAATAATTGAGATTTTAGATAGAAAAGATAAATGTATTGGGTCTATGACATAAAAAACATTCGTATTAAAGATCCACTTCAATATGTACTCTGACATTAATAGCCACATATGACAAAAATAGAATCGTAAGAAAAAAAATAGGGCAAATATGATGTTATCTATCAGAACTGTCACAAGACGTTTTATTGATATTTTCACATGAAGAAATTTCTTTAATTCGATTTCGTGTTTTTCTTTTTTGGATTTCGATCTAATCTGTTGTTCATCAAGTTCAATTCTGTATTTTTTTTCTTGCAAAATTTGAGATCTTTTCGAGTAGTATCCGTTTGTTTTTAAAATAGCCAGTTCTACTATTCGTTATCTAACATAAATCGAATCTAATGGCTGCAAAGTATATGTGCCTCTCTTAGAATGCAAGGTAACTAATCGATAAACATCAAAAACATCATTGCCCTTATTGAAGATTAAACACAAATGTAGCTTTTCCTTGCAGAAATCAGTTAATTGATGGTTTTTTTTCTATTGTATCTTTCAAAATTATCATTTCAATTTACATGCAAATTTTCTATTCTCAATATTTGAGACAATATAATTCAAATATTTCTTCTTCGTCAGAGTCTACTCATGTTCACAGATTCGAAGTTTTTGTTTTATAAAATCCTACCTGCAGCAGCTGCTGATGTAACGTGTACCAATGGTGTTTCTCGTTCCATTTCTTCGACTAGAAATGTTTTAGTATTAGCATAAGCAAAAAAGTAAATTGCCCTATAAATACTAACATATCTCATAATAAATTAAATGATTTTTATGCTTACCGAGATGGTGCCACACCAATTAAATTTGGTACTAAGCCTTTGAAAAGTCCTGGAATACCTTCATATTTTAGAATATATCTTTTAAAAAAGAGCCATAAATTTCAAAATATAAAAAGAAAATCTTTCTTAAGTAAAAATTCATACCGAAACGAAGCTATGATACTTGGTCGTTTATTTGGTGATGGCATTGGACGACGAATACTATAAGTCACAGTATTACTCATAGATGAACGTAAATTAAGATGATTATATTCTTTCGAAACGGAATTTTTCGATGATTGATAACGCGTTTTAATTACTTCTAATGGGCATGTTAGGACTGCACCAAATGTGCCAGCAAGTCTTAAAAAAAGAACAATTTTAATGAATAAAATAAAAATCAATATTTATCTTTTTTCTACCCTCCTGCTAATAAATGAATATAAGAAGAACGATTTGAAATTAATTGTTGTTGTTGCTGTTCATCGGTGTTATTTGTGTCAACAAGACTTGTTGTAGGCATGGTACAGATTACAATAATGAATAAAATGAGAATAAAATGAGTAATAGAATAATTTCACTGATGTTAATGTTCGATTACTGAAGAACATCTAGAAATTAAGGTTTCTAATCGGTGTTCTTTTCGATTAAGTTTTTTTTGCTTTATTTCTTCTTTGTTTGTTTGATTTTATTAAGTAAATTTAAAGAATTTTTTATTAAATAAATAATAGGAAAAAATATTGAACATATCTAAAATAATAAAATATTTCTTTAAGTTTAAATTCTTCATTCCAATTATAATCAATAGTTAAGATATAGAAATCCAACAATTTTACGATTGATTTTCATGTAATGAATATAGTTGAAAGTATTAAAATATTGTATAGATCATTGATTCAATAACAGACTAATTATTTGAAATTTTTTTATTATAAATCTCTTACAGAATAATTTCCTGTTTTTATTTTATATATGGTTATTTAAAAAAATCAACGAGTAAAGAGTAGCAATGTTTATATAACATTTTTTTTCCTTTTGTAAATAAGGCGTAGAAGCGGAGAACACAAAGGATATTTATTCATTTCTCATTGCTAGTTGTCAGATAAGAACGTCATAAAGAAGTAAATACCTCAAGAAGTCTTGCAGGACAATAATAATTATTCCGCAATAGACCATACGAAGGAACTTTTGTATGAAAAGAACAAAGTGATGAACTGAATAACTTTCTAGCTAGTTTTTCTAAATTTCTATTGACCTACATTCATTTTATGAAAGTCAAGCAAGCAAATTTCTATAAATTTTTATGAATCTAATGCATCACAACAAGAATGCTAAACAGCTGCATAGCAAATGGTTTAATCCATCATTATATAGAGCATGTACGATTGTGTTATTATGAACCGATTTCGACATACCTTGCTATGGTATTTCTAATAGAAGCCTTCAACAAAGTGTTCTTTTACACTCTGCTTGTACTAGCAAAGTGTATGCCAATGCTTTTCTTAATCATAAACAGCGGGTATGAAAACGTACGATAACGAAGTTTTTAAAGTTGTGTATTTAAGAAAAAATAGGAAGAAAAATTCTATTTTTTTCGTGTGATAAACACTACCTATTAATAATAAAAAAAGATGATAAGCAAAAAACATTGTTTTGATTGTTTTTCCTGATGTAATCAAAAACCGATTGGTGGATAGAAGAAAAAAAACAGTAAAACATTTTAAATTAATAGAACAAATTACATTTACTTTTTTTCCACTTAAAAATTCATCAACTTTTTTCGAAACAATGTATTATTTTACTTAGCAAAGTTTACTATGTACACTTTATTTTTTACGTAATGTGTGAAATATCGTGTATGACTCAAACAGCAGGTGTTCTGCACATTTATACTTATGCCTAGTACACCTGCCTGTAAAAATACTGCCTATTGATATGTCGTTGATAAGAAACATGTCTTTTATTAAGACATGTTTTGAAACTTTTAAATAAATATACTTCACTGTTAACATTGTTTTTTCATACGTAGAAAACGTCATCTATGATATTTTTGTTCATTAAAAGATGTTCAGGATACAATTTTATATAATAAATAGTTTTGGTCAATTTTTATTTTGATATTTGATTTATGAAAAAATTGATTTTCTAAAAATAGAACATGTTTTTTTTTTACATACGTTGTGAATAAATTCCCAGTGGTATAAATACATATAAGTAAAACAACATGTAAGAAATGATGTTGTATAACGATATGACCATACAGATGCTCAGAAAGAAATCATGCTCGCAATAAATGATTGGAATCTGACAATTATTCAACAAGTTTCCAGAATGGGCATAATTGTTAATACTAGAATAAACAAAATATCAATTTCTGTTATTTGTTCGTTCAATATGCAATCGTAAAACAATTTTTTTTTTTGGATAAATAACAGAAAAATTTATTGTTCTCTTTTTCTTATTAGTATGTACGTAACTAAGCGATGATTTCTGAATGGATTAAAATGATCGAATGAAATGCCTCCTTTTCATCATTTGATATTATAGATATCGAATCCTATTTCGAGATGAATCATGTTAATTTGTTTTTTTTTTCTTTTTACAGAATGATAGTTTACTGTTTTTTGATAGAAACTTTGTATAATTAGATAGCATGGCTTATAGTTCGCGAGTACTATTACCATTTGCATTATGGCCTGAAAGTCCTCCATCATTAACCGTATCGTCATTATTTATAAATTTTGCAAGTGAAGATCTTATAACAGGCACAAATGATGGTTTTGTCGTTTGCTGGAAAATTTTATCTGATCATCAAAAAGTAAATTAAAGTTCTTGTTTTTCTTCTTATTGATATTTTTTCATTTAGATTATTCCAAGATTAATGTTAATTGGTCACACAAATCAAGTTTCATTTATTGTTGGTTCAATATCAACACATCAACTCGAACAATTTGTTAGTATTTCAGATAATGATGGGTATGCGATGAAGAATATTTTGTTTTTATTGATTATATTTTGATTTTAAAGTGAAATTAAATTATGGAATAATGAAGATGGTCATTGTATTGAACATATACGAACTAATCTTAAACATCGTTCTGTTCAAGTAAGTAAAATTTTAATGTTTATATATATTCTTTAGTTTTTCTTTTTCTAGTGTTTTAATTATCAATTAACAAATGAAAATTTTCTTATATGTTGTGGTTGTTATTCCGAAATACTTATTTATGATATGCGTACACTTGAAATTAAATATACTCTAACACCATCAAATGTAAATGCAGATTGGATATCAACATTTTTTGTTTTTCAAAAAGCAAATGCTCTAGGTTTATTTAAGATAAATTGAAGAAAATAAATATTTAGTTATTTTCATAGATGTTATTATTGTCATTGGATTACTTGATAGTGGTTGTGTTAAATTATGGGCATTTGATCCTCGTACAGCTACGTCAAATGTACGAATAAATATTTTTATAAAATTGAATTTGTAAATATTAATAAAATTTTTCAGACAGCTATTGAAGGTACAAGTATAGGAAATAATAATAATATTATACCAATAGATCTTAAAGAACATGAAAGTAAAGAAATTCGTACACAATTTGGATCAATTATTGTACCTTGTGAAGAATGTCAAAGAATGATGCTTATTGTTCATGGTCAAGGTTGGCAAGTAAGTGACAGTTTTTTTATTGTTGAGTTCAATAAAGACTAATGATTATTTAAGATATTTGATGGAATTGATTTCACAGAATTATGTTCATATGTAATGGATGAAAAAGATATTGTTAAGAATGAACATTGGATAAATGGATATTTTCCAACACCAGATTTAGTTTTACTTTTTTCTGCTCGTGGTTATGGACATATTTTTCGTCTTCCTGAAAAGTAATTTAAATGACGAGTTTTAAGTTTTTTTATGTCTAATTTTTTAGTGCAACATTTATGAATCCAAAATTTCGTTCACAACATAATAAAACTGATATGCAAGTACCACAATGGTTATGCAGATTAAGCGTTGGAAATGAATTCGTAAGTATTGTATTTTTATTTGATAAAATTAAGAAGATTTTAATTTCATATAAGGAATTGTTCTACTAGAAGAAAAATATTTACTTTCTGAATTTTTGTTGGAATCATACGTCACGAGTTACGAGCAAATCTTTGGAAGGCCTGAAAAACAAGTTTGAGCAGCTTTCGATGCGTAATAAAACGTCAATGAAAGAGATAACATTTATTTTTAGTATATGAATAGAAAGAGCAAAGGGTATCCACATTCTGAGTTTTCTGTAGAAGATACAATGATGTGTTTGCAATTCCTTGATCTCCAGATTTACAAAGTGAACTCGGTCGTTTCTGATTGATAGCTACGAAACTCTCAGTTCTCAGCTAACTTTGTAGAGAATAGTCTTGACCTTTATACAATTTAAAAAATCACTAATAGAAAGTATATAATAAGGAACATCATTTCTGAGAAGAAACTCGAATAACGAAAAAGACGTTTTTACAAAGGTCATAAGAAAAATTACTGAATAGCAGCATGAGATCGATTTTTAACAGAATATGGTTGCATTTTCCGTCCAAACTTCTGCTTGAAACTACATTACAAGTTGCACGGATCATTGTTGTTCATTCAATATTCATGCATTTCACCGTATGATGTTGAACGCTTTTATGAGACTTCATGAGCGAAAAATGAAAAACTTTCAAGACTGAAAGGGACAGCTTTCCTTCGATTTCCAGCTCGAGACACTGCTAATTTGTTCTTCTGAGCTAGGAGAAAAATATAAATTTATTAATTTAGAAACTTGCTCAAACACCAATATTTTCTTGTCATACTAAATCAAAACAATGTCAAGTTTATCGAGCTGATTCTTCAGGTGAAATTTCTGTTTGGCATATAAATCTAAAACATTTTTCAACAGATACGGGTAAAATCTTATCATTCATTTGTCTTATTATCATTAAAAAAATTTGTCTTCGTTCACTAGATATTCTTCCAACATGTTCAATATCTTATAACGATATTTGGTCACATGCATTAACCAATATTCGTACTATAAGAAAAATTTTAAATGATGTATATATTATTATTAAATTTATTTTAATTTTAATTTAAATATAAATATCTGTTTAGATATTACCAAATAAAATAAATAAATTAACAGCATCATGTCATTTAATAACGATGGATCGTCTTGCGTTTGGTACTGATAATGGACAAATTTATATAATACCAGCATTAAAACTTATTGCAAGTCTTTTTTTAAATAATAATCAACATAAAGAAAATTTTGGTATTTTTTATTTTTTGCATTTATTTCTAATTAAAGGAAGAAAAACTGATTTTTTTTAGATATTCAAACACTTATCGGTCATAATCAAACAATAACATGTTTAATTCATCCACATAGTGAATATTCACGTTATGATATTCAACATTTAGTTAGTGGTAGTATTGATCATTCAATACGTTTATGGGATTTAGCAACAAATACACAATTACATATGTTTACTGTACATTCCGGTACAATTCTTATGTTTCACATTCCACCACCGATGCTTAATGTACAGAAAACTTCTTTATTCTTTTTTGAAATAAATTCATTTTAATTTTAATTTATTCTAGGTTAAAGTACAATATTGTATATGTGCAATAGCTAGTGACCACAGTGTTTCGTTAATTAGTTTAAAAGAACGTAAATTAATTTTATTAGCTAATCGACAATCATATCCTGTTGTTGGACTTCGTTGGAGAATAAATGATGATTTTTTACTTATAAAATGTTCGGATGGAAGTTTATTTATTTGGCAAATTGAAACAGGAAATCTTGATCGTGTTGAACATGGTATATTAGCGGAAGAATTATTTGAATGGTATAATGATCCAAGAATACTTAGTGCAAATAATGATCTACAAAATGATCCATTATCAACAGCAATGGTATCTTCACATTATCTTCAAATAAGATCAACTGGAAAAAGAAAAGATAGTGATCAACTACGAAAATTAAATAGAAGATTCGGTATGAAACACACAATGATAAAATTAGAACAATCATTCGTTTTCATAAGAAACTGTGTGTGAAATACTTGAAATCATAAATCAAATAACGGTTATTCTCAAGGAAACAGGGGAGACCAGCTGATTTCATTGTTTCGATACAACTCTACCAAGGAAAATCAACTGTTTTCTTCTTAAAATTTTTGCTATTTTTTTAGAGTTATTGAGAGAACCTGATTTTCATGGTAATATTTGTGACAAATCTGTCGCTTCATTGTTTTTTGTCATCTTACGAGAGAAGTTCTCCAACTGATGGATCGTTTTTGAATAGATATTGCACTTTTACGATATTTTTTAAAGTAGATGATGTAGTTACAGAAAAATTGATTTTGGAATTTCGACTTGAAACTCTGCACAAGGGCAGATCTTAACAAGAGTAGGGTCAGGTTTCTTTTGTATTTACTAAAAAGGACGGAAAAAATAACTGTGGTATTTCGAAGTACTTGAAACGAATTCACAACATCACGATCAAATGTGACATAGCATTGTCTTGATGTAAATCATAAATTAGAATAAAAGTAAACTTTCTTCTTTCTAATTATTATAAGAAATCAAATTGCTTTTTTTTTTATAAATATTTCTTCAATGATAAAATCAATTTTCTACACAATAATAATCTCAATGTGAGTTTTGTTTTGTATTATTAAGGAACTCCACGTCATGATTTAATGGGTACATCATCGTTTAAACATACAGAATATCGTTTACCAATTATAGTTCAACAATTTCATACTAATATTGACGATGATCTAGCAATACTTATTCTTTTTGATTTACTTCAACTGATTAGTAAGTTAAATTGCTTTGTAATAAATATAAATAAATTTTAAAATGTTTGCTCTGCTTATTTGATATTTAATCTAATTTATTTGTATGCTTATGCTAGGTCAAATCATTGTATTCGATCTTGAAAAACAACACGCTCAAAAACCTAGTAATACTCACTTGGCTTTTTTGCTACTTATTAAACAAATTTTCTTTCTTCTTCTTCTTTTAATTTTAATCATTTTTATTAGAACAAATTGAACTAACAAATAAAGATACTCATACACAATTCGATCAAACATCAACATCATTATCAAGCTTATCAAATCTACTTGTTTCATTACTTCATCCATGGTCATTTGATAAAAACGTTGATAGAATTTGTCAAGAACGTCTTCGTCTTAATCGTGTTAATCGATTTTTATCCTATGGTATATTAAGTAAAAATGAACATTTAACTATTGTTTTACCTACGTGGCAACAATATTTGAATGATACTATGCCTGATACATTTTTAGCAATTCCAAATACACTTATTTCATTTGCTGGAATGGAAACAGATGCTAATGAAACCTTAAAACAGTACGTATTTTAAAAAACTAATCTGAATATTAACTAAAATTCACTTCCATTTTTAATAAATCAAAGTAACTTTTTCTTTATTAAAATGCAATATTTTATATTTGTTGTTCATTTTACAAAACATTATCATAATATGCACTTTGTGTAATTTTATACGTCTAAAAAAGTTCACCATAAGATCAAATGTTGTGTGAGCAATTTAAGACTAAGATGTCACGTGACGAATTTATTAATCTAGAAGGGCGATTTAAAACTCCAAATGGTACAACACTTAGTTCTTGATACATTAATATACATGAGCGAAAACATTCGTTCTTGGTTCCATGACCAGGACCATCTTGTCCATGTCTGTGTACTAACAACTAGATGTGTCAGCTAATCGACTGAGCCGCTACCGCCGTGAAAAACAATAGATTTTTATTTTTACAGATAACCGATGTCCGAAATCAATTTTAGGAGATGTTACCGTTCGGTTTCTTGTCAATTAGGTTTCTACTGTCGTTTCCTTTTTTTGATTTTTTAAAATTTTTTAAAATTAAGAAGTTCTTTAAAACTCATCGAAAAGTTTCAGGCGACGCTGATCGATGTAGTTGCTTACACCTATACTAACAATGAATTTTTGTAGACAAACCGATTTTTAAAAGAGTGGCTTCCTTCCGATTGAATAAATATAAAAACTTAAAGTTTATTCAAATAATTATTTTAGAAAACAAGAACGAATTGAAAGTTATGTACATCAATGGCGATGGAAATATTCTACAATTCTTAATACCGAACATTTATTAAGTTCAGTAACTATGGTCTATATTTTAATGAATTGTGATCGTTGGATTAATAATATGTAAGTTTATATATTTATTGAAATTTTATCATATTCATTTCGTTTAGACCAAGTGATCAAGATGAACAAGCACTTGTAAATAAAGAAATAGTTTTTATTTATTTATTTATTTATTTTTTCTTGAATATAAAATAACATTTAGTTGTCACAACGAGAGAGTTGGAGTAAATTATTACAATTTTACTGTTCAGATATGCTTGAACAATGTCAAACAAAAGTATTTCAATCATTATCAATTGAAATCCTATGTTCACATTGGCAAGATTTATGTTTAGAAGTAAATGTCGAAATTTATTCATTTATCTTATTTCTATTATTGTTTTCTTTTCTAAAAAGCTACGTGATGCTGCTAGAAAATTATTAGAAAAAGAACTTGATCATTTACATAATAATAATGATGCATGGCATATATTTATTTCTAAATGGTCTAATTTATTTAATCAGTCGTATAATAAAGAGACTGATGGAGCTTTATATGATCAAGATATTCGAGATATATTTCTTGATGATTCAAATTGTAGGAAGTTTCGAAAACAAAAAAAAATTATTTATTTTATTTGTTCTTTTTTAAGACAATAATGAAACAACAACAACCACGGCTAAAGAACAATATAAAGCACAGCAATTACTATCGATTGTTCTTATTGGTATTGTTGGTGCACGATATGGACAAGAAGTTGAACAAACAAAACAATCATCTGTCGCAATTAAAGGATTTACAGTTGATAGTCCAGAAATGATTTTGAAATTGAGTAAGAGACTATGCAAAATGATACAGAATATTTTATTCTCATTTTGAATATACTATCAATAAACTGAAACCAGGACTTAGTTAGGCCAAAACAAAAACAACGACCCACTCTGTAGTTTATTCTTTCTAAATTATTTTGAGGCTAACGAACAGATATATTATGAGAAGAAAGTAATGAAAAAAAAAGAGATTTAAAGGAAACGATTGATGTGGGTAATCGCTTTTATAGATCAGAACCAGGATTGGAATTTCGAAATTAGACGAGCAACAAATATCATCAGATACATGTCAGACTATTCTACTTCTTTAGACAGACTGCAAGTATCTGCTGACTATTACTCACATGATATAGGTAAAGAGAGTTTATTCGATTCCAATATTTCATTCTCCATTATGCGTTACAAAAATCTCCATTGATCCAACTTTTATTGATCTTAGGTCGTATTTTAACAAGTCTTCTATCTCCATCAAATTTTGATCATATTCCATTGCACAGTGTTATTCGTCGAACAGCAATTGATCTTATTGGTCGTGGTTATACTATATGGGAACCATACTTAGATATTGGACAAGTACTATTAACATTACTTGATTTATGTGCTATTAGTGATAGTTCAACAGTAACAAGCAAGTAAGTATATTATACTCTGATAATGAGTCTTTGAGTGAGAACGATGATTTCAGGCGACCTAATGTCTATACGAGCAGGTAGTATTAATATCGAGGGTGTTGGGATTGCTTGCTTTGTTTTCCTCTAGAGAATATGATCTAACAATTCAACGACATGCAACAAGGTGTGTTGGTTGAAACAATATGCATGCTTTTTTTAATGTTGTCTTGTTTTGTTTCGATACCCAATTTCTAATTTTATTATTTTTTTTGTCTATTTTTGTATTGAAAAAGAAATATAATTTTCTTTTTAGTGTACTTAGTGGAATATTAACACCAAAAACTGATACTTGTTTAACAGCACGAACAGCTCTTAATTTAATTGCAACATCTCGTTCAAATGTAGTTATAATAACACTTGCACGTGAAATTGCTAAATATGTTCTTGCACAATCTGGAACAACATCATCAACAACAGCACGTACAGCAACACCATCACAAACGTCAATAACAATTAAAAATGAACAAAAAACTGAAATACTTCGTCTTATTAGAATTCTTATTGAAAAATGTCCACATGATGTTGCAGAATTAATTCTTGAAGTAGATTAGAACAAATAGATGGATTTCTTTTCTTTTTTTTTCTACTTATAGGTTACCGATATTACTTTGAATTGTATTGATTTAAGTGCTCTTCGACATAAAGGTGTTCAAGCTGTATCAGAAACATTTGGATTATTATTACGGTATGAAAAATAATCTGAGAATTTTGATTCGCAAGACTTTTCATAGTGCGAGGAAAATGCAGAATATGACTATTGTTCTATGCAAAACTTTTAAGCCTAAAAGAGAATATAAAGGCGACTTACATTGATTGTCAAAGAGTGACTGACAAATTATTGCACTCTTAGTATTTTCAAAATTTCCCTATGTGATTCGAACCGAACAAAACAAACCATCGGTATACCAGCAATCAATGGGTGGCAGTCTGATCCTTGAATAGTTGGCTATCCTTTGACAATCATTCTACCGATGGTAATGCGAAATAGGTCTTCTATATTTTTTGCTTGATTGAACAGTCGTTTTTTAATCAAAAGATAGCGCTTGAAATTCTGCACAATTTGATATGCTTCATTTAATCCATGTGCTGTTGTTGCTTTTTTTTTATTTTATTTTCTCTATCAATATTATATTTGTTGCCATGAGATTCCGATCCATAGTTTCAGTTAATTCATCTTATAACGTATTATCTAAAGAATTTAAATCAGACAGATTTGGTGATTAATGATTTCTCGCTATGAATCGACGAAAATGATTTGTCCAACATTTTTCATTGGGCTAACGAGTGCGAACCTAGATCACGATAAACTTTATTTGATTCATCACTAATTTCATATTTATTTTTATACGTTTACTTTTCATCTTTTTTAAAAATATATCTTTAAAAATTTGGGATATTAACATATGTGGTTTTGTAAAGAGTTACAACCGATGTCTTTTGATTAAACAAAAGATGTTTTAATCAACCGAAAAAAGAAGAAAAGTTTTGCATATGCGAGCAGTGTAATTATTTATGGACCACACATTTGAAAAAAATCAAATATTGTTACTATATAAAAATCTATCTGGAATTATGAGCAAATAGCTTTTTTTTTATTAGATTCACTTCAGCCATTGATTGTGTTCATTGATTGATTCTATTACTCATAATAAATATTGTGTATTATAGATATCCAATAGTAACCTATTGTCATGAATCACCAAAATTATGTGTTGGTACAAAAACTGGTATTCTTGCTTTATATGATTTAAAAACACCAAAATATCAAGTAAGAATTTCATAATATGTCAGTCATCAAAGTAAAATATTTCTTTTTTCATTTAGCCATTTCAAGCTCATCCAAAAACTGATGTAATTACATGCGTAGAATTTTCACCCGATGGAAAGTATCTTGCTTCATATTCTGCTTATGAAGGAATATTATACTTTTGGCAGGTAATTTTTTTTTTATTTATTTTTTTGTTTTCTTGTAAACCTATTTTCTTTTATATAGACATCATCAAATACATTTTTTGGTTCATCAAATACAATTCATCTTGTTTCAAGACATGCTGCGCAACGACTTGATCGTTCAACACCATCACCAATGAAAAAAGTTGATCTTAATTGGATTGATCGTACTAGTGTTCGAATGTATTGGCATGTTGATAAAAGTGAAAAGAAATTTACAGTCTAGACAAGGACAAATCAAAAACAGTGACTGCCTATTTTCCTTCTCTTTTTATATTACACTTGTCAATGTTGTGCAATAGAATCTAAATTTTACAAGAACAAATACATATTAATTTATTAATTACAGGAGATCATTTTTTATTCTTTCGAAACAAAAGAATGCGCTTACCATATGCTTATTTTGTGTCTGTTCTTAAATTAAAATGTCATTTTGAATAATTACTGAATCTACACTATGACGATTTGAAGTAAAAAGACGTACATGAAAAAACTATTGACACATTTTTTTTTATGGAATGTGAGAACAATTTTACTAGCATACTCAACTTTTTCTTGCTCGGATTCGTTTCATGATTTGTGTTGAGTTTCATTGATTGTGTTTAATTCAGAATACAATTCTCTGTGCAATAGCATGAATTTAAGCATAAGCCATCAAGGTGTGTGTGACGTGTGCGTGTGTGATTGTGCATGTGAATGTTGATGTTGATGAACACAGATCATTCATACTCACATCATTGGTAGCCACAACTGTGCCGATATTGATATCACCTATCGCTGATTTTTCTTTTCTTGTGTTCATCTCCCTCTCTCTTGCTCTCTCCTATGTAATCGTGTGTTTTATGTGAAGCAGTTACATTCTGAAGATATGAAGTAGCTAAGTAAACATCACTACCCAGGGTGGCAGTAAACTACTCAATCCAGTCTGTCGTTACAACATTCATATTCCATATCCACATCCATCCACACCTGCACCTACACGCCAGAGATGAGCACAGGACAAGATTTTCTCTCCTGTCCTGCTTGCTATGTCGGTCCTGGCGGGCGGCAGGAGAGGATAAAAATAAAAATCTTGTCCTGTGGTCATCTCTGCTACACACCCATATCCACACACCTATATGTAGTGGTTTCTTTAATTTTTATTTGACGTGCTTGCACCGATGTTTCACCTACTTTGGAATAGATGCATGCCCCAAAACCTATCAATCTGCTCAATTTATTGAAACTCGACTCTGCACTTATTTATACATCTCTTTCGCCAAGGATTCGAAAAAGGTTTCTTGTATTTTTCTTTTTTGCATTTATGATGATATTTCTCGACTAACTACTAACGAATATAATATTTTCATTTATTGTTGAAAAAGTTTCTTACAAAAAACCTAATTGATATCCAACACTTACTACATTAGATGCTGCCTACTTTTGTTTATCTCAATGTGAATGGTTTAACAGTAGTTACTCTGTGAAAAAGATTATTTCATGAAATCCATGTCACTATCATATGTATCAACTAGCATTTTTATTCTAAAATGCGATTCTTTCGAAAGCTTCGTGGAGTTCTCTTTTCGTGCGAAGAGTTTTGTTTCGCGTGAGACAACATATACGAGTGAAGAGCGCGCCAATTGTATCGTTTGGGGAAAAAATCGAAAAAAATAAATTTAATGATAAAGGAAAGTTAAGTGTCGTATTTAATAGAGCTATCTTCAATATGTATAAAAGTAATATTTTCCCAACACTTCCCTGTGCTGTGATGGAGTTTCACGATATTACAGTCGATTTCTATATGCTACATCCATTTTTCCAATAAACTTAGTGTATAAACTACTCCCATAAACACTTTGCTTGTAAAATTATTTTACGTGTCAAAACTTTTTTCCTTTAGTACTTCACTTGATACTCAATGAAGTTTGTTTAAATAAAATTTGTTTCAATGAAATTTCGATGACTTTAACGTCGCTCTACACTTTCTTAGTAAAACTGAATTTGCTTTCGAACGGAGAAAGATTTTTGTTTGATTTTTTGGGATATTACTCTACTCTATGAGATAAAAAATGGTCAAATTTTTGTCACAAATGGTCTACTTTTCATTGAGTTATAGCAATAACAAAATTTAAAATCTCGCTCAACATATTGTGTGAACATAGCTTTTTTGAGCTTTGTAGAAAAATTTTGTATTAACGAAGTATATGAAACGAACTTCTTTTACTTGTCAAATTATTTTCCCCTTCTTTCTCTTTCATATTCGATAAAATTGGTTCCAATCAAATTTCTTGGAATTGAAAGTCAATGATTTTAATTTCGCTCTACACAAAAATGAAAAATGTCTTAACGCGCATTGTCGATAGCCTTTCATTTATAGAACTTTGTGTGAAGCAAAAAGTGATAACATATTTTGAAAGCGCTTAAAGAGCTCTACAATTCTAGCTAAAAAAATTATTGAAAAAAATTTCAAAGAAATATAGAAAAATTATCTTCTTCTTGTGGGTGGCGTTAAAAGCTAGATATTTGACACTGTTGCTACGATTTCTTGTAAATCAAAAGAGATGGAAACTTAATTTTTTCAGTAGTGAATGGTAATCTCTAGACCAATAAAACAAAAAAAAATTATGAAAATCGATTGAGTAGAATTCGACTTATAGACATTTTTCTTTTCGAAACCCAACGGTACAATGGGCGCGCTCTTCACTCATATATGTCGTATCGAAGTTATAACTTCTGTACACTTTTTTATCGAAGTTGCTTTAGCTAAATTAAATTGTGAAAATATCGTGATCTGAACGATATCATATCGAAACTGATACTTAAAATTAACCTTTTACCGAGAAAAAAAATTTATTTGTGTACAAAGAGGAAAAAAATGTACAAGCTACGAAGAGAAAAAAGCAAGACAAGACAGAAATAAATAATAGAACTTGTTTTTCAGTAATATTGCATACTTTTTTTAAAAATTTCTTTCATCATATTACTAATTCCCCGATGGCCAGTTAAAGTATGAACAGTTTGTATAATATCAAATAATTCATCGAATGAAACATAATATTTAACAGTACCAACTTCTGATGAATTAATCTTTTTTACTAATTTCTGTTGATTACCAGCGTTTATTACGTCATATGTTTTTAATGATGATATTTCTTGTTCACTTCTATCACTATAGCGTTTTAATTTTGCACTATTTATTAATTCAATTGTGTGATTATAACGATCTGATGTGAGTAAGGGATTATTTGATGAATGATTGTTAGTTGTCAATAATTCAGTATTAAATTCCTTTTTCCATCTTGCATAACCAGTAATCTTTGTTGTTGTTGCTGTTGAAGATGTATTGGGATCTGTCGTGTGACTTGCCATAGATGAAGATATTTCAGTTTTCTTCTTAGCAAGCTTATGTTTTTTCATCGTTGATAGAGATGATACAACAGAATCCATTGTTTGAAAATTTTTAAATTTGAATATCATTGTAGAAAAACTATGCATTTTAATTTGCACAGAGGCGTAAATGAATTTTCTCTTCGAAGTTCGTCAATTTTACAATATCATCAGAATTAATCCACTTATCATAATCATATTGTCACGCACTTCCATATTAATAAGTTGTCACAATTTAATAATTAGCCTGTAGACTTAATTGGTACATGAGCAGTGTACAGATTAGAAACGGAGATAAAATTGACGCCGAGGAGCACCCATCTCAAAGATCATGAAAATAATGCATTATTTTCGTGACCAGCTACACGAGCGGTAACCGTTTCAATTTAAAATTTTAGTATACTTTTAGTTGCAAGCATCTTTTTCATTTAAGAGCGTTTTGCATCAAAACGGAGTTCAAGATGAAGAAAGGATAATAAGAGTACGACTTTTGATATTATTTTCTTCATAGCTTGTACGTTCTTTTTTTTGTACACAAATATATGTTTTTTTTCGGTAAAAGGTTAATTTTAAGTATCAGTTTCGATATGATATCGTTCAGATTACAATATTTTGACAATTTAATTTAGCTAAAGCAACTTCAATAACCTCTGTTATTGAAGTTATAACTTCTATGAAATATCTCTATAGAAGTTGCAACTTCGATAAAATTTTTATCAAAGTTATAACGTCGATATAGATGTTAACTTTGATACGACATATAGATAAAGTGGATTGGATCAATTGAACAGTTGACACTGATAAATCATTGCATTATTGACTATTAGTATTAGTATCATATATGAAAACAAAAATGCGATATCGTTCATGTTTGCAATAGAGTGCGTAAATTTACCATGATTACCTAAGCCTTGAATGACTTCCCTCTTCCAGGAAGTAATCGATTTTTCATTTTAGTCAACTCTTCACTTCCGCAAAGCTGATTACATGACACTTGAACGTTTTCCAACCACAAATCGAACAATAGCAACTACAAGCAGTGAATAATTAGAGAAAATCAAGGGGTCGATACTACGGTGCCTCCTCGAGTGAGTAATGCATGTCCTCAGAAATGTATTATTACGGTGACCCTAGTAATGTGAGAAGCAAATTCTTCTGTAAGTCGACGAAACCCGTAGGTCAAGCTGCCTTGAGTGGACTGCTTCGACTAACCCATGTTGATCAGTTCGCAAGAGGAGAAGCAGTTGGCATTCAACGTCACTTTCTCACTAGTCTGTCCGAATTACGTTGTTAATGTACACTATGAAAGAGCATAGTGATGACGCTTCTGATTAGCAGGAGTGGTAGGCTACCAGGAGGATACTGTGATAATGAGTCGAAATACCGGGCCTAGACGGGACGGTAGCTTTGACATCCGCTGAGAAGAGGAAGGTTGACCTCTGCCCGTTGTTCACATAATAATGACTGCAATTCTCATGTGATCAGGTTGCTAGTTTACAAAAACTATCCTGCTGGATCATGGTAGTCCTAAGAACACTTGTATCTATTTATTTGGGTGCATTTTAGCCAAGGTTTAGTAAACTGAGGTGTGACTGGGTAGTGTATCCAGTTACCGTTCAAAAACGATCCCTCGCGAGGGGGGCGTTGCCTTCAGAGTGACGGGTAGAAAACCAAAAACAAAGACTATTTTTTGAATCCTCTTACTGTATTATAACTTTCTTATCTCTCAAAACAAATTTAAAAAAATATGTAAGATAATATGAGTTCCAAGCAACAGCTAATTGTTGTACAATTATACTCATTTTTTCGTCCCATTTCTTACTGGAAAAGTTCATCGCACTTAAATTAAAAGATTACATCGATTCTTTTTTACCAAACTGAACCGAACCAAACCGACCGAAATTTCTATCCGAGCCGGACCAAATCGATTTCATCTCTAGTCTATATTAACTGGAAAGGAGAATATTTGATTGAAATAATTTGATTGAGAAGAAAGAAAACTAATTCACCGCCGGTTATAGTCGCTAGCATAAAAAAAAGGAGAATCCCTCGTCTATATCAATATGAAACGACGAAAATTTGATTGCAGGATTAGACTGGCATAGAAGAAAGTCATTCATCGAGGGTTTTAGAAGCAGGAAAGAAAGAAAAAAATGATCGTTCGTGCATATGAACACGCTCGAATGAGAAAATATTGCAGTTTGCATCCATGGATATGAAAATAATGAAAAAGCTCATGCTATATGGCCGTGAAGATCAAAACAAATCAACAAAATACTAAACTTGTTTCAGCTGAGAAAAGTGGCGAGTCGACGAGTTTTTGTATATGGTGATTCGTACGAGACTGGAGCCTTTCCGAGAGGATATGGAGTACTTTTGCGGGAACGATAGCAATCATAATCGAAAACCTTGTTTTGAAACTCAATACAGGTAGTATCAACTCTTCGCTTAGCCTATTCTGCTGGAAAAAAACGGAATTTTGTGTGCATGGAGCTGATCATCCTCAATGCCCTCCTCAAATTTGCCAATCGTTGAGAAGCCTAATCAACTAAAGTCTATAACAGTTTGCTACGCACCATGTACTTATTAAAATGACAGAAAAAGTAAATAATGGTAGACTATACCGGGCATGTATAAGCTGTTGAGAAAAAAGGCTGATTGGTTTGTGAACAGAACCATCACCCATGCTATTCAAATCCCTTGTGGCCTGAATAGCAATTGGCTTTATCAGCAAAATGTGCGATTCTGTCGTACAAATGGATGTTTTTCCACTGATCAATGCATCGAAGCCAACTCCCAAGAGGTGCATTCAATACAGCTCGTCGAGTTCTAACTTGATCTATCAATTCTGCCTCTTGAACCTTTTCCAGCCAGAAGTGCAACAAATTTTACCACAAAGCGGGTCTCAGGGACCTTTTATAGCGATTAACAGACAGTGGAACCATGCAATCGAGCATTCAAAATGTCCACTGGATAGGGCTGGTCAAGTGTTCTTTTGGTCTATCACTTTGGTCTCTTCATTCCGTTCCTTGTCGAATGGCAACAGATTTTAGCACAACATAGGTCTCAGGGGCTTTCTACCTATGTACAGGCACACGAAAGCATGGAATTTAGCATGTAAAGTGTATATTTGCTATATCTTCTCGAGTTCTGTCTTGCTCCGTCGATTTTATATCTCAGCTTCCTTCTTGGCCAAATCGCGATAGTTTTTAGAAGAAAACAGAGTCCCAAGGACATTTTTTTGCGATTTTCAGGCAGATAGAAGCTTCGAATATGGCGTTCGCGATGCCCTTTCGACAGAGCTGATTGTGTTCTTTCTTGGTACATCAATCTCTTGTCCTGGTACCTTTCCTAGCCGAATCCTGCATGTCATCGAAAAAAGCTGAGTCTCCAGCACTTTTTCAAGCAATCGTTAGGCACAACGATACATGGAATCTGGCTGTTGAAGTATGCATTCGATAGAGCGGATCGAGTTCGGTGATGGACCATCAGTTTCAAGTCTTGGTCTACTTTCGGCTCGAATCACGAAAAGGATTAGAAAAAAACTGGGTCTCAGGAGAGTTTTCAGCGATTTTCAGGAACATGCCAGCATAATATGAAAGTTTGCAGAGGTCAATTTGGTACGCATGGCCAAGTTGGATGTCGTTTATCAATTTGTGTACGCATTTCCTTCCGTGGTTGGAATCCGAGATGTTTCACTAAAAGATTGTGCCTCAGGGACGTTTGTAGTGATTTTGAGTGATATCGAAGTAAAGTATTGTGCTTTCAAGATGTTCATTTGATAGACCTGCTGGAATGCTATCTTGATCTTTCGATTACATGTCTGAGTTCCCTTTGCGGTCGATTCGCAACGGGTTTCAGCAAACTAGTGTGTCTTTGGGAGCCTTTTCAGCAATTACCAGGGGCATGGCACTGTGGAATCGAGTATTCAAGGTGTCAGTTCTATATAGCTCGGCGAATGTTTACTTGGTGCACGAAGTTAGTCTCTTTCTCGCCTTGCTGAAGAAATGCAACTAGTTTTTAAAAAAATGTGTCTCAGGATCTTTTTCAGAGATTTTGAGCCATTTTGGAGAACGCAGTCGAAATTTAATGGTGTTCCTTTGAGAAAGCGCGTCGAGCTTTGTATTGTTATATCAGCTCTTCGTGTTCCTCTCCTTCCCACTGGAATCACGACTAGTTCTAGCGAAAACCTGGGTTACAGGAACTTTTCTCAGCTGTTCTCAACCACATGAAGGCACGCAATCCGGTGAGGAAAGCCTCGGTTTCGTAGATCTCAGCGATTTCTATATTACTTCGTCAGTTTAGTAGCTTGCTCTCCTTTCTGATAGAATCACGTAACTTTTTAGTAGAAAACTGGAGCTCGTGGACCATTTTTAGCTCTTTTGAGGCGTATTAAAGCGTGCAATCCAACTTTCAAAGTCTTCATTCAATAGAGCTTCTCAAAATCTATTTTGGCCTTGCAATTACTTGTCTCGGTCCTTTTCTGTGGTAGATCCCAATAGGTTTTAGGAAAAATCTGGGCCAGAAAAAAGGTTTTTTGACCATTTTGAAGCACATTGAGGCATGAAATAGGGTGTGTAAGACTTGCATTCAATAGACCTCGTCAAGTTCTATATTTGTTGCCTAGTGTCGCGGGTTGGTCCCCTCGCTGGCAGAGTCGCGCAAGTTTTTACCGAAAAACCGGGTCGATGAAGCATTTTTAGATAGTTGGAGGCATATCAAGCCGTGAAGTGGTGCCTTCAAAGTATCCATTGGATAGAGCTCATTGAGATCTATATCGGCCTAAGGTTTATTTGCCTTGGTTCCTTTCGTGGTCGAATCGCGACAGTTTTACGAAAAACTCAAGGAAAAGCGACATTACTTAGCTGTTTTGAGCCACATAAAAGGATAGGATCCGTCGTTTAAAGTGTCTTTTGGATTACGATGTTCGAGTCCTATCTTGGCCCATCAGTTTCGTCGGTTGCTCTCTTCCTTAGACGAATTGCGATAGGTTTTAGCAATAAAGAGGATCTAAGGGGCTGTATTAGCGATTTCCAGTCGCTAGAAACAATAGACTTGAC